GGCCATATCCTTGCACAGATGGAGCGAAGAGCAGGGTCAGCCCACGCCATACAATGGAGACCGAAGTTTCTACAACATAAACGAAGGTGGATCAGCAGATCAGGTTCTGCCCATCATGATCCGAAGGATTGCCAGGAATGTCGAGCAAGGTCAAGCTGCAATAGGTCGAGTTGTGGAAGTGGATGCCAACTCAAATCTCAACACAGTTCGCATCCGCCAACTCGAAGAAGCCATGGACATGACAAGGAGGACTAACGAGGCTCTGCAGCACCAGCTGGCTGCATCCCGAGCTGAAGTTAGAGAACTCCGTGCACGCCAAAGGACTCATGATCGACACCTTCAAGAAGTTATGCGTCAGCTAGCAGAACTGAGGATTCACCCGACAAGTAACCGTCGCCAGTAGAAGACGTCTAGTTACCTCTATCTTTTGTTTAATGGATTAACCTATCCACTCTATGTTCCGTAGATCTATTATCTGTAAACATTCCTAGCTTGAAAGTACTCTAGTCAAACCTCTAAATGCCAAACCTTTTCTCTATGGTATGATGTAAGACCTATTGCTAGGTCAAATTTTCATGAACTTGTGTTGCATCATGATACCAATATATTGGCAGTTGATTTCTCTATTGCTATAACTCTCATCTTGATCTTGGATTATGTTGATTTAGTCCACGAAACACTCTATTTATATTCGCAATAGGCCCTTACTATTGCTATCATTTCTATACTTCTTCCAGTAAAGGATGCCTCCACGAAAGCGTCCCGCCAGAGGAAGACCTGCAACTCAAACCCCTACTCCACCACCCCCTCCTCCACAGATCGATCCGGTGTTATTTCAAACAGCGGTAACTGTGGCCGTGACAGCAGCCATGGCCCAAATGAATTCTGGGGATGCGAGCGGTGGTAACTCCAGGTTCGGTGAAGTCCATCATCGAGTGCAGGGATGTACTTATAAGGATTTCATGAACTGTAAACCCACCTTCTTCGATGGTACTGGAGGAATTCTGACATTATCTCGATGGTTCGAAAGAACCGAAGCTGTGTTCGAGATGTGCTCTTGTCCCGAGGAGAGCAAAATCAAGTTCACTACTGCTACCCTTACCAACAGGGCCTTAACATGGTGGAACGACCATGTTAGTTCACTTTCCTTGGTTACAGCCAATGCTATGGGCTGGGACACTCTGAAGGACCTCATGAGAGGAGAGTATTTCCCTAGGGGCGAAATTCAGAAACTTGAAGAAGAACTCTGGAACCTCAAGATGAAGGGGACCAATATAACAGCTTATACGGCCAGGTTTTGCGACTTGGCAGCTATGTGCCCCAATATGATCCCTACAGAGAACAAGAAGATTGAACGGTACATCTGGGGTTTGGTGCCCCCGTATCAAGGAAATGTTCTAGCTTCACGCCCTACAACTTTTGACAGCGCCAAGGAATTGGCCCAGAGTCTGATCAACCACGAAATCCCCTCCACTCCGGCGACAGCAACCACAACAACCACTGCACCGCCCGCTTCATCTGACAGAAAGAGGAAGCGATGGGATAAGACGAAAGGCAAGAAAACTCAAACCTCCTCAAAGGACCAACAAATTGTGGCGGTCCATGCTGCCACCACCCCGACTACTCCAGCTGCTCCAGCCCCGCCAAAAGCTTACAGTGGAAACTTGCCCAAGTGTCCCAAGTGCCCTTTCCACCACAACGGCCCCTGCCGTGAACTGCAGTGTTCCAACTGCGGTCGAAAAGGACATACTGTCCGATTTCGTAAGGCCCCTCCCAAACCTATCACGCAGGTTCCTGGTACGGGAGTGACCCCAACTTGTTATGGCTGTGGAGAGGCGAGTCATTTTAAGAGAAACTGTCCAAAGACCACACATGCTGGAGGAACTGGAAGGCTACTCACTATCGGTCACAATGAAGCGGTAGCAGATCCCACAGTAGTCACGGGTACGTTTCTTCTCAACAACTCCTATGCCTATGTCTTATTTGATAGTGGTGCAGAAAGAAGCTTCGTAAATCATAACTTTAAACACTTACTCAAACAAATCCCTCAACCACTAAAAGAAACATTCGTCGTAGAAATGGCTAATGGGAAAACAGAAAGCTCTAGCGAAATCTACATAGAGTGCACTCTTATGTTAGACGATCACTCATTCCCAATCGATCTTATGCCAGTCTCAATCAAAAATTTCGATGTCATTGTTGGTATGGATTGGTTGAGTCTCCATTGCGCCGATATCCTATGTTCCGACAAAGCCATTCGCCTGAACCTTCCAAATCACGAAACCCTCTTGATATATGGAGATAAGCCGAGTACGAGCCTTCGTATCATCTCCAGTGTTCAGGCTCAGAAATACTTACGCAAGGAGTATCGCGCCTTTCTTGCCCATGTCGTTGACACTAACCAGAAATCGAAAGATCCAAAAGACATTCCCGTAGTATGCGATTTCCCTGACGTCTTTCCGGAGGATCTTCCCGGCCTACCTCCCAAACGTCAGATTGAGTTCAGAATCGACCTAATTCCAGGAGCTACCCCCGTAGCTAAGTCGCCCTACCGTTTAGCGCCCGCCGAAATGCAAGAACTGTCTGGTCAACTCAACGAACTGCTCAGCAAGGGCTTTATAAGACCGAGTTTCTCACCTTGGGGAGCTCCGGTCTTGTTCGTGAAAAAGAAAGACGGATCGTTTCGGATGTGCATCGATTATAGAGAACTCAATAAACTCACGGTTAAAAATCGCTACCCTCTCCCTCGTATCGACGATCTGTTTGATCAACTACAAGGAGCAAGTTACTTCTCCAAGATTGACCTTAGATCTGGGTATCATCAGTTACGGGTACTCGAGGAAGATGTTCCGAAGACAGCTTTCCGAACCCGCTACGGACACTTTGAGTTCGTAGTGATGCCCTTTGGACTGACCAACGCCCCCGCAGTATTCATGGACTTGATGAATAGAGTGTGTCGTCCATACCTGGATCAGTTCGTCATCGTCTTCATTGACGATATCCTCGTATACTCTCGGAACGAGGAAGAACACAAGGATCACTTACGACGAGTCTTGGAAACGTTGCGATCCGAAAAGTTATATGCGAAGTTCTCTAAGTGCGAGTTCTGGATCCGAAGAGTCGAATTCTTAGGTCACGTGGTTAGTGAAGAAGGAATTCATGTGGATCCCTCCAAGATTAAAGCTATTGAGAACTGGTCGGCACCGAAGACGCCTACGGAAATTCGTCAATTTCTAGGCCTCGCTGGCTACTACCATAGATTCATTCAAAACTTTTCTCGGATTGCGAAACCTCTCACTATGCTGACACAGAAAGGAGTACCGTTCGACTGGGAGGAAAGACAGGAGAAGGCATTCCAAACCCTGAAGCGAGCCCTATGCACCGCACCAGTATTATCCCTTCCCGAAGGGACAGAAGATTTTGTCGTATACTGTGATGCATCCAACCAGGGGCTCGGTTGTGTCTTGATGCAACGGGGTAAGGTTATCGCATATGCCTCGAGACAGCTAAAGACCCATGAGGCGAACTACACTACTCACGACCTCGAGTTAGGAGCACTTGTCTTTGCACTAAAAATCTGGAGACACTACTTATATGGGACGAAGAGTGTGGTGTACACTGATCATAAAAGCCTTCAACACATAATGAACCAAAAAGAACTCAACATGAGGCAGCGTCGATGGGTCGAGCTACTTAACGATTACGACTGTGAAATTAGATATCACCCGGGAAAAGCCAATGTAGTAGCAGATGCACTGAGCAGGAAGGAGTATACCGGTCGAAAGACCAAGTCGTTGACGATGACTATCCATTCGCATCTCTCCACACAGATCAAAGAGGCTCAGCTGGAAGCCTTAAAGCCCGAGAACGTGTTGGGAGAATCTCTACGTGGAATGGATAAAAATTTGGAGGTAAAGGGTGACGGAGCCTACTACTTCATGGACCGAATCTGGACTCCACGCCATGGAGGTTTTAGAGATTTGGTTATGAGGGAAGCGCATAACACTTGCTACTCCATCCACCCGGGTTCAGATAAGATGTATCTGGATCTCAAAAAGCTATACTGGTGGTCAAGCATGAAAGCGGAGATCGCCACATTTGTGAGTAAGTGCCTCACTTGCGCGAAAGTCAAGGTTGAATATCAGAAGCCATCAGGACTTCTCCAACAACCTGAGATACCAGAATGGAAGTGGGAGCGGATCACAATGGACTTTATAACCAAACTTCCCAAGACAACGGGTGGATTAGATACTATTTGGGTCATTGTCGATAGGTTGACTAAGTCCGCACATTTCCTACCCATCAAGGAAACGGACAAGATGGAGAAACTCACTAGAACATACATTAAAGAAATAGTACGACTACATGGCGTCCCTATCTCTATTATCTCAGACAGAGATAGTAGATTCACCTCTAGGTTCTGGCAATCGTTGCAAGAA